TTGGAGCTAGCGGATTGAGGACCCTTTCGACGGGAGCTAGAGACATAATCATTTTGGTGGTGATGATCCAGGTTATAATCCTCTTGAGGTTGTGGGCTTGTATTGAAAGAGGGAGTGGAAGGAGGAGGACGACGACCGAGTACGAATTTCTTGAGAAGACTGGAAGGAGGCTTTAATTCCGCAGGTAAAACACTGGGAATTTCAAATCCGTTTAATTTTCGATAGACTAAATGCATAGCAATTGAAAATTCATCCACGTCCAAACTTCCACGGTTTTCAGTATCGGCCAAATTCCAGATCTTCATCAGATCCTGTGGGGGTAATTGGGATTGCGTCAACACATCCTTGGCTGTATCGCCTGACATAAATCCAGAGCCAGATCCTTCCCATGCATTGAAAATCTCGCGATACCGTTGTTTATCCTGAGGACTGATCTTCCATGATAATCGGTCTGAATCACTGGTCCCCAAACTGGGGTTCAATAAATTCGTCACGCCGTTTTGGTTAGGCATCATCTTCTTTGCAAAATCCAGATTTTGAAGACGAGGTTTGGGTGGTTGGGTAGGGGCCGGTGGCATAAACGAAGGCCCAGAGTTGCCATAGTTTCCATATCCCGTTTGCATAGGTAATTGCGGTACGGGAGGTGGTGTAGATCGATTAGCAGGCATACCTGTCATCATATTCAATTGCTGAGATGCCAACATACCCGTTTGTTGAGGCACCATCATTTGGTGAGACATCATACCCGTCTGTTGCGCATGCATTGGTTGCTGAGATCCCATCATGCCTGTAGGCTGTTGATTCATCATACCCGTCTGTTGATTCATCATGCCTGTAGGTTGTTGATTCATCATACCCATACCTGTTTGTTGAGAGCCCATCATGCCAGTTTGCTGAGGTTGAACATTATATTGTTGTGTATTCACAAGCTGCTGTTGCTGCTGTTGAGGGTTTTCGGTGGATGCGATGGTGGCCATAGCAATTTCTGTCTCTTCTCTAATATTGGGAGGAAGGCTAGCGGGTAATACTTGACCTGTGAGTTTCTTGGAGGTTAAGAACATAGCCACTGCAAATTCAGGAAACGACAAGAAGGGTGAGTTGGAGATGGAAGAGAGATCCCTTATAGTATCAAAAAAAAAAAAGAGAAAAGGGACGTTAGGTTCTTTTTCATAATCGCTCGTTTTTGTTTAGTCAATGCAAGTGTTACCAAATCTTTGCCAAGGAATCATTATCGAGATTAGAACGTCTGAGAAGTTCGCTTACTGCGTTAGCTATTCAACGACAACAAAAAAAAGAAAGGGTGAGTTGTGAGTGGAGAGGGTTAAAAAAAAAGGAAGGTGAAGCAATGAATACCAGAAATCTTGTTGCCACCAAATGCAGCAGCACTTTGGGTAAATATTTGTTCGAACTTTGCTTGGTCCGAAGGTGTCAAAAAACTAAAGCGAATACCTAATGTTGTTATTATAAAAGAGACCCTTTAGTTTCCTTTTCGTTTATTTATTCCTTTTATTCCCTTTTCTTTTTACGACGAGTCATTTACCCTTTGAAGGACTTGATTGACCTCCAGTGTTATTATTATACATTGCTGTTTTTATTTTATAATTTGTAATAATAAAAAAAACAAGATGAGAATAAGAAAAAAGAAAAAAAGGTGTGGGTTTAATTTATTTCAAGAACATGAAATGCTTCTTAAAAAGGAAGGGAGCACAGTCTAATGTCCGCTCTTATTCATCAAACGCCATCGGCTCTTTTAAATACAGTTGGTATAATTTTGTCTGGTCTTCCTCCGCATGAAGCATCGTGATATGGATAATCGGTGCTGTGCTCGATAATGGGTCTGTTCGAGACACATAAACGCATCTTATTTTGTTTCCTGCAATCGCCTGCACAAGCGCAGTCTTTTTACTAAAAGTTAGCCTTCATGTTCCACTCTCCTTTTTTTTTTATATATAACTTACTGTTTCTAAATGTCGAATTTCAATCACATTAGTTGAAAACACAATCAAATAAGGAAAGCTCACAACCACATATTTAGCCTCGGTTTCAAACATAATTTGTGGCTGCAACAGATCTGCATCTGTCTCTGCTACAGGCCACGCTGCTTCGGCACTACAGATAAGTCCTGTCCCGGGTTGGTTTAAAGGCACATAAGCGATGGTCGTGAGCGAAGGATCATCCAATTGTGGACTTGTACCTATCGTCACATGGTACGGTACCGCCGGTAACGAGATACGAAACGAGTATTTGACATGTTGATAGCTATTATTTTGTGCATTCGTTGACCCCATGATCCAATTCACAATATCCACCTTTTCAACTCCCTCCGTACGTGAGCGGATATACACCGTATCCTGAATAATTTTTAAATCTGTAGGCTCAACAGAGATGGGTTTATATTCTTTGCATTTCTTGAACCAAGGACTGGAAGATCCCGCTTCAACACGATACAGCATCAACACCAGTCGAACAGACCCCGTACGACGACGTCGTAAATAACAAAGAATCGGTTCTCCGCGTAAAGTACCCACTGCAAATGAAATCACGCCTGTCTTTTGAAGCAGTTGAAATTCCTTGCTTTCATCTCGGTTCATCATCTCGTTCGATGTATCTACTGTTGTGCCAGTGCTGCTTGGATAGATATCGTCAATCAGAATCGCTCCTAGCACACGGTTTGGTTTGAACCCTCGCACAAGTAACATTCGGTTATCAAACAATTCAATCTGATGACAATTGTGTCCTAACACCAACTTAAATCCTTCCGTACCATCACTGTACGCAACCCAAAGACCGTAGCGAGTACCCAGAGCAATGACACTTCTACCTTCGGACGTAGCTAAATTATTGTTTTGTCTTTTACGTTGAATAAATAAAAGTGATATACCATGACACATATTTAACAAAAAACTTACTGAAGGGTAAGGAGCACCAGATCGTTCCACAGCCAGTGGCAAATCGTCCCTCGACACTACGTAAAGCAGAACAATTAGGCTTACTACATATTAATTCCAATTCAAACGGTCCAAGGTCTGGATTGGGCAAGATGGACTTTATTTTATTTTTCCAAGCCAACTTGATATCAGCTGAATCACACTCAAACAAATAAGTCAGGTTCGGGTCAGCTAAATGAGAGATTTGCAGTAATCGAGGTCGAATCACACCACCACCACCACCACCACCGCCAGTACCACGGGGTGAAGCGACACGAATAGCAGTAGGTGATGAAGAAGAGGAAGCTGGCGCTATCATGGATTTTGCTGTATAAGCAGACGTCTTGTTCTTTCGTTTAATCCGTTGTTTGATCGTACGGATACGGTGGCGTAATTTCAAACCAGATATAGTGTAGATGGCCGAATAAGTGGATGAACCATCATCGGACCGTACACTCATGGCGTCGGGTGTCACCTGTTCGTTATACGGGCGCTGATGGTGATAAGATCCCGAACTGAGTTGATGTCGAATCGAAGAGAAGATGGTCGATTGTTGTGACGAGGTAGATGAAGTGCTGGTTTTAGAACGAGAGGTTAAACGAGAAGTTCCGTGCCCAAGTTTGAGCATGTAAAGTGGTATGGCTTTGTCAATTAACGTATACTCCAGTCGGTTTTCAGTGGAGGATTTTTCTCGAGTGATAAATAAAGCGTTGGAGAAAAGAAAGAGTTGACACATGATGGGCGGTATTCTGTTGATGAGTTCAAGTGAGCCTTCAAAGATGAGGACAGCATCGTCTGGTAATATTTGTGAGATGCGATGTTTTTGTGAAGGTATGGATAATCGCCGGACTCGAAGGGCATATTTGATTTCCATTAAACGTTGTTCGGACTGTGCATTTCGAATGGCTTCATTGATTTTGTGTAATAGATCTGGTAAAAAGAGGCTGATTTCTAGAAAAGAAGTATGATGTTCCAGTAGCGGTGAGTTCTTTAGGATGGTGGTGAATAATAGCACATACTTTGTAATACGAATGATGGGTGTGACCAACAAGTCTTTTAAAGGTAATCTAAAGTCCTTTTCAATGGATTCTTGTTGTTCGATAAATGCAACAAATGCTGTATTTTTATCCCATTCTAATTTATACTGGTATTCGGCAAAGACATGATTGGATGCATAGCGTATATACGGATCCGTGAACTTTTTGAAATGCTTCAACAGTAAATCTCCAATGCATCTTGAATCCGGGAACAGAAAAGTGCTTTTATCTCGTGTCCCTTCCAGGTCGCGCAACATCTTTCGATGAAGGTTAGCAAGTACATGGTAGTTACCAAATAACGTATCATGAAACGGAAATCGTCGTGCTTCCTCAATAATGTCTAACGATGATAACAAGGGTCTCGCAAATACATCTCGTATCACAAACAATTGCTTTAGAAAGTTTTCTTCATAGCTGACTAATTCCTCAATTGCCAATTGTCGTTTCTTCTCTTGCGCTGTCAAGTCTTCCAGAATATATCGAGGGATTCTATAAGACCAATCGACCTTTTTTTATTTTTGGTTATACGTTGAACGTGGCTTAGTGTTTATCATACCTAAAACAATATCTATTGAACTTACTGTATCGTCTATTGTCGGATTTTTCACTTCAAGTACACTCAACGGCTTTAAAGGACAAGTAGGTGAATAGCATTGTGACGTGGTTGCATTTTTGCATTGGGGTGAGTAACACGATAGTAATTGAACGAGAATACATTGTGTGGATATATCTTGAAATAAAAAGATACTTTTGGAAGAAGGTACCAATATTTGATTTTGAACAAGAGAATCGAATAAATACTCTTGTTGCTCTTCGGGCTGATCTGTCAAAACGAGACTACATGCATTCTGCATTTTGTTTTTGTTTTTTTAAAAGAAAGAACTTTTTTTTTTAGCATAAAAAAAACAGAGAGGGATATGTGTGTGTGCTATCTTTTTATCCATACCAAGGCTTCGTCTCTTGTTATCTGAGCATACTGTGCTTCTTTTACAAATTGCTTGGTAAGCCTTGAAAGACACCCTTTAATTTCAACCGTTGCCTATTTGTTTCTTAACAACACAATAAAAGCAGTAACATCTTTCTCTCTTTGCCTTACATTATTTTCCATTATTATCATTTTTTTTTTTAAAAAAAAAGAAGAAATAAAGAAAAAGGGAAATAAAAAGGGGAAAGCTGATGTTTGTTTTTTTTTTGTTTCCATCACGAGTTCTCCATAGAGTTACACACGCACACGCCATTATTTTTCCCTTTTTCATCGACACAAGAACACACAGCCGTTCCCAACGCCAAAGGGCGGTTTTTCAAATAAAAGGGCGACGTTCATTTTTTTTTTTTTTTTACACTGAAGCATCAAACGCTAAACTGAAATATGGCAAAACCAAGGCATTCGCACTTAACGGGAAACCCTCAGAATTCTGGCAATAATATCTGAAGAACCACAATATCACCCAATGGCACTCACAGTTTTCACCAGCTCCTTTACGCTATCTTGGATTCCAACTATTTTTCTCCATTCCCCAGCGCAACAATTATGTTAACACCATAATCCAAAAGATTCAACACGCCTGTAACAATCATAAACAACGACAATTCTCCATTTGTGGCCGAGCTACCGTGCTAGACTCTTTGATCTACTCAACACTGTGACACGTTATTCGACTATTCCCTATGACCAAAGCCCAAATTGTCAAGATCCAATCGGTTGGATATCAGTTCCTCATGTTTCGTATGTTCCCCAAACTCAAGCTAGCAACCCTCCAAAAAACCCAGCTTCAAGACATCCCCAAGACTGAACACCAATCAATTATTATACAAGGCATCTCTACTTTTAACCACCATTCCCCACTGCAATTTCACACTACTACTAGGAGCGGACTCTGCACTCACTCTGGCTATCACACCTCAATACTATTTTCCGTGACATTCCTTTCCATATCGAAAAAAACTACTCAACGCATTCAACAAAAGATCACCTCCCGTCTTATTGAACAAGAAGAGGACATGGTACTTCCACAACCAACATTTGATTTTTCTTAAAGTGACAAAATTTACCGTTCTCACTGTAATAATACGAGCTTTGATAAAAAAAAAAAAAAAAAAAAAAAAAAAACGCTGGAACGACTGTATTTGATGTAAATATGCTAACACACTACTTCAACGTAATAAATATACTTGTCATGGGAAGTAGTGTCGAGAGAGAGGGTGTGTGTGTGTGAAGAAGTGAGATGGCTTCTTTCGGTAAAGTCAATCAAAGGAAAATCACCTGAATATTTAATTGCCCAATGTTATGTGTATCAGACTTCTCCATTTATTTATGTGTATACATGGTAAGGCTCTATTTCATCAAGTCATAAACAGAGCTGATCAACTACTCAACCGAAATAACATGACAGGGGTCTATCTGTACACAATGAACTAAGACTTCGGATTCTCATCATTCAATCTACTATGACGTGCATTTTTTTTTCTCTCTTACAGTACTCTGAGCTCACATGTCTCAGTATAATATGGTAAGAACTTGTTCCGCTGTATCTTACAGAGAAAAAATCGGTTCATACTTTAAAAAAAAATGCGTCCTTTCCTAATCTTTTTATTATCTCAGAATAACCATGGGATACCTTTTACAAAAAGTGTCTCCAGTAACAGCAGATCAATCACAGCAATATCCCCAAAAGCTTTAGTGTTACACACCACCCAAAAAGCAAAATAATGGTTACACACAAGCGAAAAAAAGGGGGGTGGGGGTGGGAAATACGAACTGATGAATGCATAACTTATTTCATGCAGATTGAGATGATTTACAACTGTCGATCATTGTAATAGTTGTGGCTGAATGGGGATTGAATTTGTCAGATAAAAGAGAACAATAAAGCTACTCCGTCCTCTTTTCACTGTGAAGTGTGCTGTGACGATGTCGATATGAATGATAATACAGCAATCTAATGCTTTTTGGTGTTTAAGATGACGCAAAGTTTGACTATAAAAAGATCGTATCAGCTTGTATAAGCAATTGGGAGGCGAAATTTAAAGATCGTATCTACGCCAAGATATTTCATCTGTGTGGGAGTTAAGTGAGCAAACTAATGCTCAAAATACATGAAAATAATAGTATACCTTTCTTGTAGTAGTACTATCCAAACAGAGAAGCTTTTTACGAGACCCTATTAGTGACTATTTTGATAGTACTAGCCCAACCAGAGCTGGTTTACAGTTAACAAGAACCATCCAATATGAGCCTTTATTGAAGAAAAGGGAATAAATATTTCTTTATAAGTTTTATCTTGGCGTGGGTAATGGGAGCGTGGCTGCCATTTGGGTATCTTTTTTTTTTCTGTAAGTAGTGACCGATGCTTTCAATTTACGCTTAAAAGGATCAAAGGGTCTACTCCATATAAGCCAGTTGGATGATTCTTGAGACCCAAAACATGATAGAGTGCCTAAATGTGGATTGAAGGTAACCGTTAGTAAAAAGAATGAAAGGTCTCTACTTTTTTTTTTCTTCTGGCAAAGGCAAGTCTTTCACAAAAATCTTATTTTGCATTAAAAAAAAAAAAAAGACAGAGAGATGGTGGAACCCAATATATTAAAACAACGCTTGTAAGTGCGCGTAATATCAGAGGAGAGGTAAAGAAAAAAAAAAAGGTTGTGCTTAGCAACAGACATGTTTATGAGTTTCTATTTCAGCACTCGTTACCATGGATTGAACAAACCGGTTTTACGCTTTTTTTCTTCTTTTTTTTTAAATAAAAGACACAGTAAAAAAAGATATCCAAGTTTTTTTTTTTTTTTTTTTTTAATTGTCACACACTTCAAGGGATGACACAAAATATGTATCCCATTGTCTTGCAATGTCGTACAATTCCCTTTATTTTTTATCAGTAAATTCAACGTAGGTTTTTTTATTCAAGCAAAGCGTGAATAAAAAAACCCTCTCCCCCCACTGTTGATACTCAACCCTTTGCCTTTCTATTTTGTTTCAATCCCACTGTTACACTAGCATTCTCTAAATAAAAGGTGTAATTTTCAATCTACCGTTACACAAACTGTGCAGTGGTGATTGAAAATAGTGGTTTCAAAACCCCGTCCTGTGGGTTTAATATGAAAAAATGCAAAAAAAAAAATACGTGTCTGATAGACCTGTGTAACTCTTGTGTGTCCCCAAACGAGAGAAAAAAAGTACGATAACAAGCTACTGGATCCATTTTCTAGAATGTGAAAGTGACAAAGTATGTTTTTAAAAAAAAAAAGATAGATTGATAGATATATGCATAAAATAAGCTTTTGTTTTTACATGTATGTTCCTTGTAAAGATACCCAAAAAAAAAAAAAAAAAAAACAGGTCACGAGAAAAGAGAGAGGGGTTACTTCTAGAAACCACCTGTCTTTTTACGAAAAAAAAAAAAAAAGGTCTTTCATCATCCCTTTTTTTTTTAAACAAGAAGCATCCAAGAATTAACATGGCACAACAAGATGAACGTATTGGGTATTTCTCGACGCTTTGTCAAGAACTTTATAACCCTAAAAGCGCAAATGAACGAGATCAAGTACAAAAGATACTAGAGGCCAGTTTTCCTACTTTTGCCTCGGACGCTCATGTCACCACCCATTTAGAAAACATGCCTTCATTTCATATTCAGAACCCCACAGATACCGCAAACGCTTTACGCATCCTTCTCGAAAACTCCCCTAACCCTTACGTTCAAACTTTTGCCCTCTCCAGACTGAAACAACTCGTCATGGCTCAATTCACCCTCTTTGACAACGATACCAAGCTCCAGCTGCGTAAGTTCTCCTCCCCCCCTTTTTACCCTTAAACACACAACAACTAAACAAAATCTCTATCTAGGTACCTTCTTGTTGGAGTATGCTTATATTCACCCCGACTTGCAACCATTCGTCATTACACAGTTAGCTACCGTACTCGCTGTCCTGACTCGATTTGGCTGGCTAGAAATCGATGAGTATCAAAACGTATACAAAGATATGGCCCAATTCCTCCAGGTAAAGAGCTTTCCACCCCCCCCCCCTCCCTTCATCTTTTATATATAAATCATTGACCATCCTTCCAAGGCTTCAGCAGAGCATCGTATTGTAGGTGTTCAAATCTTGGCCATGATGGTACAAGACATGAATTCACCCACTATTCCCAAATACGCTGCCAAATTTAGAAAAGCAGGCAAGTGTTTTTATATGTATATCAAATGAACATTTGTATTCATGCTTAATTTTTTTTTTTTTATATATACATAGCTGCCGGACTTCGAGATACCCAATTATTCGAGATCTTTGAAAATGCATTTCAATTATTACAAGCCATTCTATCTTCCTCTCTCTCCTTTGATAAACGTAAGTTGACATGAAACAAAAAATTCCTCTCTCTCTCTCTCTCACTGACAAAAAAATAAAATTAAAAAATAGCGGGTCAGGAGGATAGGACAAAGGATGCCGTGTTGAATTTACTTTTAAGGTGTCTATCCTATGATTTCGCAGGCACCAGTCTTGATGAAGCCGGTGATGATACCAACGTAGTTCAGGTAAAAAAAAAAAAAACATATATAAGAAAAAAAAGATTCACTGGCAAACCTCCTCACAATGTACTAAAACTCTTTGAAAAAAAAAAAAAAAAAAAAAGATTCCTGCTTCATGGAGATCCATGTACGAAAAGGATGATTTTATCCCCACCTTCTTTTCCGCCTACCGTCAATTCAACCCTTCACACGCCAGTAAAGTCATGGAATGTCTAGTTCAAATTGCTGCTACCCGTAAGGCCCTCTTCAGTGGCGAGGACAAACGCTCTGATTTCGTGCAAGGTATGATGACCCATATCGGCGACATCATCTTGACCTCACAAGGTATGAACGATCCCGATTGTTATAACGGCTTTTGTCGTCTCCTACATCGTTTTCGCACCACCGCCCAGTTAAATGAGATGGCAGAGAAACCAGGTTATCTCCCCTGGATCGAATTGGTAGCGGATTTCACTCAAAAGGCCTTTGCACAACAACAACCCATGACTTGCTTTTATCTTTTGAGCTTTTGGGCTCGTATCGTCACCAGTATGGCTTATTATCAACAGTTGGGAGAGGACACCGTGCTCAAGTTGGAGGAAATCACTGTCGCTTTAACAAGGACCTTCATGACCACCTATATCGAATTCGTCCCTGCTCGTATCGAGGAAATGTTGGACGGTAAGTTTTTTTTTTAATGAAAAGAAAGAGAGAGAGTTTTTTTTTTGTTAAACTGGAAAAAAACTTGTGTTATAGATCCGTTGGATGATCAGGATGAATTGATCGAATCACTCACCATGTTGGGACAAATTGCGCGTTGCAAGTATGAGAAATCATGTGCTGCGCTTTTTGAAATATTTGATCCCATTACTGTCCACTATCAGGTAACAAATAAAATCAAAAAAAGAGAGAGAAAATACGTGTGTATCTAAACAAGGGAATATATATATATATATATATATACAGGAATTCATGAATCAGGCAAGTATGGGTACAATTAGTGGAGAAAATCTGAAAGAAGCCATCGAAATCTTTGAAGCCAAATTTGCTTGGATGGTCTATATCATGGCTGTTTTTGTTGGCAACCGCCCCGTAAGTGTTTTATTAATATCTTTTTCATGATTGTTTCTTTATAAAAAAAAAAAAAAACTAACATCACACCATGTTAGCCTTATTTGAGCTCGGACGAGAACGATGAACTAGACGGTCAATTAACGACCAAAGTAATTCAACTCATGCAAGTAAACCAAAACCTCGTTTCGGAAAATCGAGATTTCCAAAGTGAGAAACTGGATGCGGCGCTCGTGTATTTCTTTACCCAGTTTCGGAAATCCTATGTGGGTGAAACCAATACCAAGCCCGTCTACAAGAAACTCAATGAAGTCTTTGAGATTGAGGGACAAACCGATATGCTCAACCTCATCATGAACAAAATGTAAGCTTCTTTTGTAACTTTTTTTTTTTACCGCACTAAAAATATCCCCTCCCCTTTTAGTATCACCAACTTGCAAATGTGGGGGTCCAGTGAAAGCATTATTAAACAATCTTTGGAACTGTTCCATGACCTCGCCAGTGGTTACAGCGCCCTTAAAAACCTACGAAAAATAGACGCCACCACCCTCATCATGCAAAACCATCTCTCCAATGACTTTTCCTTTTTCAATCATGCTAAACACCGTCAAAGTCGTATGCTGTATTATCAAGTTCTCTGTAAAATTCTCTTTGCCGAGGATAATTGTGAGGCAGAATTCTACGAGTTTATGAAACCCTTTGAAGTACGTCTGGATCATCTCTCCACTTTATCCACCATTGAAGAGTTCAGGCAACCCGGAGTCCAGGTACAAACCCCTCCCAATTTCTTTTTTTTACATTTACATTCGGACTCATTTACTTATTAGAACGCATTGGTAGAGGTGTTTCGTGATTTACGCGCCTTCATTCAACCCATCCAAAGTCGAAAGAATTACCTCTTATTCTTTCACTGGTTCTACCCAGACTACATGCCAGTCCTACTCAAGGGTATCAGTGCTTGGTCCCCAGATCCTTCTGTGAACACCTTGCTTAAATTCTTTGAAGAGTTTGTCAGTAACAAGAGTCAACGTCTCAACCTTGATGTCTCGTCCGCCAACGGTGTACTCATCTTTCGCGATGCCAGTCAGATCCTCTGCACGCATGGTCAACGCATAGTGGGCGGAGGCACCCTCAGCGAATCGGACAAATATCCCGTCAAATACAAGGGCATGGCTACCTGTTTTAATCTCCTGGGTAAATGTCTGGGTGGAAAGTATATTAATTTCGGTGTCTTTTGGTTGTATGGGGATAAAGCAGTGAATGAAGCCTACAGTATCATGTTTCAAATGATGTTGGATATCCCTCTCTATGACATGATGGTAACGTTGACAACGAAAAAAAAAAAATTGAGAGAGAGAGAAAACTAAAGAGAGAAAGAGTGTATTTTTTTTTTTTTTTAGAATTATCCAAAGTTAGCCAAGGCATTTTTCTTTATGTTGGATGAATTTTCTGCCGAACAAATGATGATGGACCCAGGAATGCCTGGGGAGGCATTTTTGTATATTTTACAAGCGTGTGAGGAAGGAGTGGAATCAAACGATAGTTGGATTCGTACACACGCATGTTCAACAGTAAATAATATTTGTACATTTGTTTTACGCGAGACGGAAAAAGCCGAATTGCGTCACGAAGGCGGTGGTGGTACTGAAAAGAAAAAGACAGAGGCTCTCAAGAGTCCTTGTTTAAATTATCTGTCTCAATACCCTCATCTTTTACCTAAATTATTAACCACCTTATTTGGTTTAATCCTGTTTGATGAAAATAATGATCAATGGCAGCTGTCAAGACCTTTATATTCCCTTGTGTTACTCGACCGCGATGTAAAACGTGTTTCTCTATTATTATTTTTTTTCAATATTAATCTGCTGACATTTTTTTTTTTTTTAAAGTTTGCCGCAAAATACACAAACCAAGTGATTCTTCAACAGTTACCGGAACGCCGAGAATTTGTAACCAAAGTGAGTTTAGTTTTTTTTTTTTTTTTTTTTTTTTTCACACACAAGAATTCATTCACCCGTGTTAAACCTTAATTTTTTTTTTTTGTGATGTGTTTAGGCCCTGAGTAACTTGATGGATGGAAGTGGTTGGACTCTCAGTACAAAAGATCGTGAACGCTTTTACCAACAAGTACAAGCTGTAAAAAGACTCTTGAACAGTAGTCATATTGTCCTTGTCCCCCTCGTAAATTAATCCTACAAAAAAAAAAAAAGACATGTATACCTTTTTTTTTTTTGTTTAAAATAATAAAAACATACACACACACACACACACACACTTTTTTTTTCATACATGTTTTTATTTATTTTTTAAGAAGACACTGGGATGGATTCTTTATTGTTGTTGGGTGAAGAGGGTGAATGATAATCCACCACCATCCTCGTCTCTAATCTAGGTCGTTTATCTTCTTCCTCTTCTTCATCATCCGCCATCTCCAAAACTCGTTTTTTACTCACATATCCTTTTTGTGACATGCTCATTAACGTATCCGCCGCACTACTTTCCACCGGACTTTCCTTTTTCTGCTGCTGCTGTATGTGTTGCTGTTGCATGGGTTGCTGCTGTATAGACTGCTGCTGTATGGAATGTTGTTGTTGCTGTTGCTGTTGTTGTTGTTGCTGTTGTTGTTGTCGCATCACGGTACTATGCTGACTACTGGTTGAATTATGACGTTGATGAGGTGCACTATGATTGACGGTTGGGTATTCTCGTTTCACAGCCACGGGAGAACTCTTTTCATTATCGTACAATACCGAGGTTCTTCGTAAAGGTTCTGATCCGGTCGAATGAAAAGAAGGAAAGGATTCATTGGGAGGTCGACTGTTTGTCCCATTATTGGCAGGAGAGGCGTAGTAAAGGCGAGGAGAGGATTTTTTACTGGGAATGGGAGATCGAACAACGGAAGACATCTTTGGTGTTGTGCTAGCATGACGATAGATGGGTGATCGTGATTCGACAAGCATAGGGTTCATCAAGATACGTTCAGAAGGCGTAGGGGCTCTACCACCACCTCCAATATCTGGTATACGTACTTCTGCTGCTGCTGTAGAAGAAGAAGAAGAAGAAGAAGGAAAGGGTACAGGGGAGCGTAAATCATTTAATGCGTTAGAGGGTTGAGAAGGAGGAGGAGGAAGATCTGTTCTTCTTTGACCATTGTTTGCCAAAAGAGGAGGTTGATATTGATGAGATAAAGGTGGTGGAGGAGCAGGTGAAGTCCCATTTGCACTTGTGTTATTGTATTGATATGGATTATTAACATCTTGAGGTACGGGAGTTGTGACGGGTGCATTGGACGGATTTGATTTTCTTAGGAGTTCTAAACGTTGTCTAATGTGAGGGTTGGATGGATCTAATTCACTAGCGCGTTGATAGGCATCCAATGCATCCTGGATTTGATTATTGCAAGATTCATAAAGGGTACCTAAATCATACCATACTTCACTGATATAAGGGTTTAATCGAATAGCACGACTATAAGCATCCAAGGCATCTCTGTACTGATTGATTTGATAATAGAGAACACCAATGGAGCACCAAAATGTGGGATTACGAGCATCACGGTAGACAGCCTGTTGATAGGCCTCATAAGCTTTATTGTAGTTTTGTTCGACCATGTAACATCGACCGAGTAAATACCATGATTGTGCATCCGTACTGTCTGCTTTTAAGGATCGGGTGAGGTATTGGATAGCGGTACCTTGGTTGGAAAAGGAAGTATTTTGTTGGTGATAGAGCCAACCTAATTGCTGAAGCACTTTAGCATGATCTGGGTTCTCGGATAAGACACGTTCATAGGCTTCTTTAGCCAATTCGTATTCTTTTTGTTGTTCATAGACGTGACCGGTCTGGAACCAGATATCGATTTCTGTCAGTGGTCTCGGTGGGTTATGCAGTATATAACGAAAGCACTTTGTGTTGTTATTGTTAATAATTAATACATAAAAAAAAGAGAGAGAAAGGTAAAGTACCTGGAGAGAGAGGTCATATTTCTGTTGCTGCTTGTAGATGATGCCTAAACGAAAGTATATTTCATTTGATTTTTCAAATTGAGGATCCATCTTCATGACAGCAGAAAATGCTTCTTCAGCGTGTTCGATAGAACCATAACGATCATAAAGAATACCGATACCATACCATAGTTTAGGGTCCTTGGGGCTTGGTAAATGGTAAAGAGCTTGTTGATAGGCTTGATAGGCTTCTTGTAGGTTATCCATCATGAGATAACAATGACCTAAGGAACTCCATGTTTCACCATTGTTTTCTTGTAGAGCCAAGATGCGTTTGAAGTAGTCGATGGCTTTAGCGAATTGTTCTCGTCCCCTACATAATGATGCTATATGTGATAATGCGCTAACCGAATAAGGGTTGTGTCTTAGGGCCGCCTCATAGGAATTCATGGCTCTTTCCCAGTCCGACATCATTTCGGCTAAATTACCTATAATTTTTTTATTTTTTTTTATTTTTTTATTTTTAAAAAAAGGTATTTTTATTTTTAGAGTTTCGCATACAAAAAAAAAAAAAAAAAATTTATTTATTTTGTGGCGTTCCCGATCAGCTAGTCTTAATTTGGCGCACAGTTACACACACACACACACACACCTCCCCTTCTTTTTTCTGTACTCCCTTACTTTCTCCCTTTTATGGCTCCGTCATCTCCTGCACAAACACAAGACTTTTTTTTTTTTTTTTCCTTTTTTTTTTTTTTTTTTTTTTTTTTAGCAAGACCCTCAGTATACACACACAAAATAAATAAATAATAATAATAAAAAAAAAAAAGATATACTAACCAAGTGTCAACCAAGCTTGTTCATTTACAGTAGCTAATTTTTGTACAATAGGTTGAGCTGCTATACTATTGTTATTTATACTTGCAGTCATGAATGAGAAAGTGAGAGAGAAAAAAAAAAAAAAAAGATGAACAAGATGAGGAAAAGAAATAAAAAAAAAAAAAAAATCTTGGTCCTTTGTTTCCCCTCCTCCTCCTCCTCCTCCTCCCCCCCAAAAAAGATCTGTTTTCTAAATCTTATCCCCCCCCTTTAATTTCTCCACCTCACGTGATTTTTAATCCCCCCCCCCTCCTCTCTTATCCCGTTCCCCCAAATATATATATATTTTTATCATACATTTTTTTTTTTTTTGCAGTGCAATAATGACACTCAAGAACATGGTGGCTAATGTACCTTCACTCACCAAGGCACTTGTATCCACATGTATTCTCTTTTCCCTCGCTTCTCAAGTCTATGTCTATCGTCTGAAACAAGCATCCGACCCTGAATCTACCATTCTCAACATTTGTCCATTCATTGGTCTACTGCCGGGATTGTAAGCCCCCTTTTTAACACATACACACACACACGCACACACATCTTGTCTTAACTAATAACTCGCGTTTCCCCCACCGTAGTGTCATGTATGCTCCTTGGACTTTACTCACCGCTACCTTTTACGAAAGCAATCTCTTTACGGTAAAAAAAAAACTATCTCTTTTTTTTTTTTCGTATGTGTGGCTAAACCTCTTTTTTTTTTTTCCCTTTAGTTGACGACAAGCGTAGTTGTATTACTATTCTGTGGCAAGTATTTGGAACGTGCATGGGGATCACGCGAGTTATTTAAGTTTGTGCTGGTCACTGCCATCTTTTCCAATATCGTAACATGGTTTGGCATTCTCGTCTCTTATTATCTTTCGGGCGATGACAAGTTCTTGTGAGTTTAATGATAATAGTAAGAAAGGGGCAGTTGAACTTACATATACGTCAAATAGATATCAAGTTCAGATCAATGGCATGTCGGGTGTCTTTTCCGCTTTTTTAGTCGCATTTAAGCATTTAATCCCTGAACATCGTATTGCTATATTAGGCGGTCGTTTGTCTATCCGCGTCAAAGTAAATTTTCCTTTTTTCAGATCCCCCAAGTCTTTTATATACATCTTATTAACCTTTCTCTCTTAAAAGAACCTTCTAGGCGTGGCTACTGCTATCAGTATCCTTTCCCTCATTGTGTTTCAAGCTATTGTATTTTATAATCTCGTTAATATTGGTTGGGTTATTGGTTGGGTCTATATTCGTTTCTTCAAGTATCAAGATGGTATCCAAGGAGATCGTAGTGAAACCTTTGCTATTCAAACCTTCTTTCCAGAGTTTTTACAGTAAGTCAATCCCCCCCCCCACCCACCCCTTAAAAAAAAAAAAACTCATCCCCCCCCTTTTTTTTTTTTAAACAAAAAGCCCGGTGATTGGATTTGTTTCAAATATCGTGTATGGTGCACTTGTCAAATTAAATTGTTGTCAAGGTTCACGTCCTTTTGTAGACGCAGAATTAGGCAATATGCCTCCCGCCCCAGGTTCCGCTAGAGCCGAAGCCGAACGCCGCAGGTAAAATAGTCCTCCTTTTTTTTTTTTTTAGATTCACACACACACACACACGAAAAAAAAAAAAAGATCTGACATTTTTTTTTTTTTTTTTTTTTTTTTTTAATAGAGCATTGGCCTTGAAAGCTTTAGATATGCGTTTAGCGAAATCACCAGCGACTGAACCTGCATCTCGACCCGATATACTTTTTGATGCAGAACAAAATACGCCATCCAACGCCGATCCTTAATTTTTTTTTTTTTTTTATTTTATCATGTGAGAGGGGATGAATAAAAAAAAAAAAAGGGGGGTGGAAAGAAGGGAAAAAAAAAAAAAAGACAAAGGGAAAAGAAAGGGGGGAGGGAAGGGGAGGGAAAAAAAAAAAACCATTTTTACTTATTAAAATTTTTTTATTATTATCCAAAACCTAACAATTTTAAAAAAAAGGTCTTTTTTTAACATGATGGTGTAATAGCAGTCACTCATGAAAAGGGGGTTTTTTTTGGGGGGTAGCACCCGTTAAAAGACCAAGTTTTATTCTGGAAGGGTGAGCTTCTCTTATCTGCTGTCATAATGAACCGTGATGCACGCGAACATATGAAAAAAAGGGGGTGAAGTCAATGAAATACAGTGCGCGCAGTAAACTAAACTCAAAAAAAAAAAAAGGCTGACGTCATGGAAAGAAAATTTAAAAAAAAATTCCTAAAAAAAAAAAAAGTTGTGTTTGATTCGCCCAGTGCAAAAAAATAAAAAAAAAAAAAAATCTTTAGTGGTGTCGGCCCCAGGCTGAGAAGGGGGGCGAGCGAGGGGGGGGAAAGAGAGAGAAAGAGAGACAGAGATTTTTTTTTTTTTTACCCCTTGACACATAACATGTCCTTTTCTAGAGAAGGTTGGAAGTCACAAAAAGCACTGGCCCAAGTGTGTCGACAATGTCTTTTCAAAGGTATGGCAGCGTCAACTCCTGTGGTACTTATGAGACGTGCCAGTACAGGTAATGTTCGAATGGAGGAGACCCCTGGTTTATTAGAAAAGTTTCGTCAACAACTATACCAGCCTACAAAGAACAACAACAACATACCAGCTCATTATTCTGCTAGAGTAAAAAAAGCCATGACCAGAAGACAAGTCAGACACGCACTAAGCTCCATGTATCAAACAGCTAAAAAGCAAAACCCTCTCTTTTTATCTCAACTCTCTCGACAGGAATTCGACCTCTTCCTAGCTCAATTCATTTCAAACCCTGACGACCCTACCACTAACCCTCCCATGTTGGAGGCTCTCGAGATCTTGTCCGATTACAAACACAATGGCAACACAACTCTGAAAAGAGACGATTATGAACTCATGATTTATTTAGCGACAGAATTAAAATTAACAAATAGAGCCATCGACTTACTGGAGGAAGCCACTTCTTTACACCACCATTCACTTCACTCATCTTCCTATGAAGCCGTCATTCATTTATTATCCACACAAAATAAAAAACAGTCCATGCACCATTGGTTACTTGCCTACGCAGCTCCTCCCACTTTCGCCATGGTGAGGTCCGTCGTCCTGTCAAAATTGAACGATTTGGAAGAAGCTGCAGACTATTTACGTCAACACCATCCTACACACCCATTAGCCGATCTCGTGGTGAAACACACAACAGATTCACGTCAACTATTAGACCATGCTCTCGATTTATTTGCAATCGACTCTATCCATCATTGGCGATTAAACGACACCTTGTCCATCTATCGTAAAAAACGTCAGGCAGGATTATCCACTTCCATGATCGTCAAACACCTCGTTACCAAATCGTTATATACAGGTCAATACCATACAGCCGAGAAACTTTTAACAGAGACCCTCGAAAGGAAAGATGCTTCCAACGTCTTACACGTCGCAAATAAAATCATGCATTGGCATATCTTGCAATCCAATATCAAGGCCGCTGTTCACATCTGGCAACAATTAGAATCACATCATTACACCCTCGATAAACCCATCATGGAAGAATTGATTTTAGCTGCGGCACGACTGAAATATCATGTCGATACCAACAAAGTATA